TGGTTCAATGCGGTAGATTTCTAACACTGCAACGAAATATAGTGTTCCCATCGTCTATTATACAGAAGGATAAAGATGGACTCCACGTATGGGTTTCTAATTTCTCTAATCACTCTACTTGTCTTCCCAAGGATATATGCATTGGGCATGCGGAAGAAATTGAAGAACACAATCTCTGCAGTTCAGACTCCGAAAATGTAGCGAGTATACCGGGCAAATGTATACCGGGAAATGGCACTTGACCTTAAAAAACTACAGTGAAGGGTATACTGGGCAAATGTATACCGGGCAGTGACACTTAACTAGATCTAGTATAACTAGACCTTTGGTAAATATCCGAAATATATACTAGGTCTAGTTAAGTGCCACTGCCCGGTATACCCTACACTGATGTTTTTTTAAGGTTAAGTATCATTGCCCGATATATATTTGCCCGATACTCCAAACATTAATGTTTCTTCTATCGAATCTATCGTCAGTAAGTATTAAAATATCGAATAAATGTAATTATATCCACGAATAAATTAATATCAAATTGGATGTAATGAATGTAATCGGATAAAGTGTTTTTTATTCAAAATGTTTTATTCAAATTTCTTTACTAAATTGCAAATGAATTATTAAATGACTAAAAAAGAAACATCGTATTTTTTAGTTTGAAAGAAATAAATATAAAAAGATTAGCAAATTATTATTAGCGAAAAAAATATGAATGGAATTTTATACTACGCTCGCGAAGTCAAGTTCCTCGCAAGTTTATCACATTTTAATATTAATCGCCCCATTTAATTATTTCTTTATTGTCCCCAAATTATTTTTTTAAAAATAATTAATTTTAATTTTTCTCAGCTTTTAATAAATAAAAACAGTTGAAACTTTAGATTTTTCAATTGAAAAATATGTAGATTAATATGGTATAAAAAATTCAAACCTAATAATTCAAAATTTTTTCATCCTCAATTTAACCCATGCACCCATGACCGAAACAAACTTCAACAGAAACAAAGATTTCGATAGTTTTAAATCAACGATACCTGTTTCGTACTCAGAAGCACTACGCCGTCAGTCATCTAGAACTCGAGTTGCTTCTACTCGGCAAACTTATGAGCCACGCCGTCTTCAGTTACCCCGTTGCAAAACTGATATCTGGAGAACAGAGGATAATAGGCCAGTGAGTTATCACTGCGGTTGTCCTGGTCATGTGTACCGACACTACCGTGAAAGACAGACATTTCAAGACTATAACCCACGACAAAGAGAGACGATCATTTCAAACGAAGGTTTCAGTCCCAGTAGTCAACTTAGGAGTTCATCGCCACAATTTTAAGAACGAAGACGATCACCATCCCAATGTAGGCGTAGAAATATATCACCCTCTCCAGACAGACGTTCTAGTCGCTCACCATCTAGGCGTTCAATGGAAAACTAGAAGAAGCGCCATTCTTCAGAGGTAAGATTGCCAAACCTCCAACAGTGGCACAGATAAAAGACACTAAAGTCGAAATAATTACTGAAAATAAGCCAGTAACAGCTCTTATTGATTCTGGTGCTTCATTTTCTGTCATTTCTGGTGAATTTCGAAAAACTGTATCGGGAAAAACTATGCTGACCGATAATTCTAGTTTATTCATAAAAGTAGCAGCAAAGAAAATAGTTTAACCCGATTGGACGTTGTACCATAAGATTGACGGTCAGCAACCGAACGCAGCCACACAAATTCATTGCGCTAGAAAAATTTAGCCATGATGTAATTTTGGGTTGGGACTTCTTACACGCCTCACGGGCTATTATTGACTGTGGCCGCAAGGAACTGGTGCTAGAAGATACCTGGGACGAAATAGCACATAAGGAACTCCAACAAAGCCGTCTTTGTGTAGTAGAGGATTGTGATATTCCTCCTATGACCATAAAAATAATTCAAGTAGAAACAATTGGGTGCAAGGAGAGCAAAAGTTTACTGGTTCAATGCGGTTGATTTCTAACACTGCAACGAAATATAGTGTTCCCTTCGTCTATTATACAGAAGGATAAAGATGGACTACATGTATGGGTTTCTAATTTCTCTAATCACTCTACGTGTCTTCCCAAGGATCTATGCATTGAACATGTGGAAGAAATTGAAGAACACAATCTCTGCAGTTCAGACTCCGAAAATGTAGCTGAATCAATAGACAAAGGAATACGACCTGAAGTAAAATTTTGATATTATGCTCACCACAGGCCTATCAACTGAACAGAGAACTAGGTTGAATAATATTTTAAGGGAATTCAAAAACGTTTTTCTACCGAAGAAAAATCGATCCGAAAACGTCGTGAAACATCACAAAAATATAGGAGATCATCAGCCTATGAGCCAAAGACCATATAGAGTTTCTGTTGCTGAGCGGCGTATTATACAAGGCTAGGTAGACAAAATGCGTACTCGAGACATCATTCAGGAATCTCAAAGTCCATGGTCTTCTCAGTGGCGTACACAAGGGAGGGGTTTAGGGGTTTAAACTCCCCCCTTGAGCTCAGACAAAATGGTAAAAATGAAAATTTTAGTCGAAATTATGCGGACTATTATTTTTTAAGACTATATATTTTTATTTGCCTTATGCCTACTTTTTTTTTCTCACGGTATTTCTCAGAACACTGAAAAAACATTTACTATAATAGGGTTGTACTTTTGAAACCAAATTCACCTGATACTGTTACGGACTGGTTTCTTTCCGTCCTGCCAGTCGCGATAGTTTTCGAGACTGGCTTTCATTCACGAAGTCTTTGCGCGATGATTCTGGAATTTTACACGTTCTGTCGTGTTTGAGACAATTCGAGAATTTTGGAGTTGCGGTGAAAATTTATATAAAAGAGGGAACGGAGAACAGTGGAGTTAGTCAGGCTAAGAGTTATCTCCTGCCGTTTGTCTTTCGGAGCTCGTTGCTAAATCTGATTTGTTTTGTCTTCACAAAAAGTTCACTCAATCGCCGAACCCGTCGTCGTTGTTATTTCGACTAGTGAAGAAATCAGTAACAATACTATTGGAGATACTGAGCTCGTTGAAGTTATTCATTCCAGATCCAAACCTTAAGATCGTAGTATAGCGGATATTTCTGTGCCAATATATATGTTTGCTGTTCTTAGATCTTTAGGATGTCAAAACGCAAGAATTTAAAAAATTTTAATTTTTTTGAGAAAAAATAACGACCTGAAATTAGTGAGGTGACAGCATCTAGTACCAATGTAAGTTTCTCTGTTGAACAGAAATGTGACACTTCCGTTGAAGAAAACGTTTCTAGCACATCAAACTCTGATGAATGTGAAAGTGGCCCTCAAAGTGTTACTTCCCACCCATATAACATTGGACTTTTTTCAGAAGATATTACATGAGAGAAGATATTACATTATGCTCTTAAACTTGAAAAATCAAATCAAAATTTAACTAAACAATGTTGTCTAAATAAAAAGTCAAATTATCTAGCTGTCTAAATTAGGGACATAATAGAGCTTTATTACATACTCGAATTTCTTTTAGTAGTTTCAGAAAATCATGAACACCCCCCTTGAAAAAAAAATTCTGCGTACGCCACTGGGTCTTCTCCTGTGGTTCTTGTCAGTAAAAAAGATGGAAGTTGGCGTTTCTGTATCGACTACCGGCGATTAAATAAATGACCAAAAAGGATTTGTACCCGTTACCAAGGGTAGACGATATTCTGGATTGCTTAAAGAACGCAGATTACTTATCGTCTATGGATTTAATTTCTGGATATTGTTGTTGTTGTTGTAGTTCATTTACGTCGCACTAGAGCTGCACAATGGGCTATTGGCGACGGTCTGGGAAATATCCCTGAGGATGATCCGAGGACATGCCATCACAATTTTGATCCTCTGCAAGGGGGTTGGCACCCCCGCTTCGGTAGCCCGACGACCTGCACACGAAGTCGAGCACTTTACGGTAGCACAGTTTAACGAAGACCAATCCCGCACACCCTCGGTCCTTACGCAGATTGATCCAAGTGGTCACCCACTAGGACACTAACCGCAGTCAGTGATGTTTGGCCTCGGTGATCTGTCTGAATATTGGCAAGTAGAAGTCGATGAAGCTGATCCTGAAAAAACTGCTTATGTAACCCCTGATGGCCTATATTAATACAAGGTTATGCCGTTTGGACTTCGTAATGTTCCCGCCACCTTTGAAAGAATGATGGATAATTTAATACGGCATTTGAAATGGAAAAATTGTTTTAAATTGTCTTGATGAAGCAGGATTACAACTCAATGCGAAGAAATGGCTCTTTGGCTCAAAGAAACTCAAGGTACTTGGTCATGTCGTTAGCACAGATGGAGTAGAGCTAGATCCAGATAAAATCATGGCTATCCCTAAATATCTTGTACCTACTTCAATTACGGGCATCAAAAGTTTCCTCGGACTTTGTTCATACTATCGTAGGTTTATAAAAGACTTTTGTACCAAAGCGTATCCACTGCAGAAACTGTTAAAAAACGATGAGAAGTTCATGTGGTCAGAAGAACAACCCTACTCGTTTGAAATTTTGAAGGCCGCTCTAACCACCGAACCTGTATTGGGTATATTCGATCATGATGCCCCCACAGAGTTACACACTGATTCCAGTGGCCATGGCATTGGATCGGTGTTAGTTCAAACTCAGTAAGGAAAAGAGACTGTAATTGCATATGCCTCTCTGACCAAGGCTGAAACAAATTACTCGACAACGGAACGCGAATGTCTTGCAGCTATCTGGTCCATCAGTAATTTTGGAAGACCGTTCACCATTATAACAGATCATCATTCATTATGCTGGCTTGCAGGATTGAAAGATTAAGGTTAAGCTTCTGGAAGGTTAGCTCGGTGAGCTCTCAGACTACAGGAATTTGATGTAACTATTGTTTATAAGTCAGGTCGTAAAAATAAAGATGCTGATTGCCTATCATGACATCCACTACCAACTACTGAAAATGATCTAGAAAAAAAGTATAACTGCCATCATAAATCTCGCGGAAGAACAGGACAAAGACCTGGAGATAACAACTTTGAAGACGAATATAGGTCAGCGAAGTAATGACTCAAATTATAAAATTATGAATAGTATACTCTGCAAGCGGAATTATGAATCGGTCGGAAGACAGCCTCCAGGACGTGAACTCTTACATAGATTACCTAAAATCCTTAACTGAATTGTCCACGCCTGGCTACTAATCCAGATCCACCACAACCTCCGGAACAACACTTGGAAAGACCAGCTGGGAAGGAAAACCCTACCCTGCCGGAAGCCAGAGCGACTCCTCGAAAAGGCACAAAGGGCGCAGCACCAGCTGGATCTTGTTCCGACCGCCAACAATGGTTTATTGGGAATTTAGAAAAAGGTAGATACAAATGAAAATATATACACAATAGCATGTTGGTGGTTGAACATCAATAAGCTAATCAATATGAAAAGTAGCATTAACAGTTGGTAGCAAAAAGAATCGCTTGAATGTTCATTATGGAGAATTTTGAGGAAAACAATTTGCAGAAGAAAATTATGCTACAGGGTACTATGCTACAACCAAAATTAAGAAAAGAAAAATGGAAAAAAAATCTTTTTTGAGTGTTAAAAGTTTTTCAAGTATCTGAAAAGTCAAAATTTTGAAGGATGTCACTAAAAAAAGAAAAGTCTCTAGCTGTCGTTGAATTTCTTTCTTAACTAATGTAGCATTTGTTGATAGGTCGGACAATAACGAAGGCTGGATGATCGGGATTGTAGCTGGTTCCTTTATATGTGTTAGAGTGCCAACAGTTAATGCAGTAACTCTCAACTCTCATCACAATTGCATTCGTGGCTTTGATAATTACCACCGCATTTGGTTCAGGTTGCAAATTCCGCAGTGCACTGATTCGTTTGATGATCCAGGCATTGGCACCACTGACACCGTCAAAGTACTATGCGTTTTTTGATTATACACTTGTTGAGACCTATGAAAAGATATTTCATTTTCAAGAGATGGGTAGTCAATTTGTGCGATACATTTGCTACAATGTGTTTTTGTCCATACATTTTTTTATGAGGGATGGATTTGAAATACTTGATTATGCAGTTGTCATTCGAAGAGTTGCTGTTCTGCAGTATGATGTTGGCTACATCCTCACCTTCAGACTGAGCTGGAGAGTTAAATATAATGAGTGAGGTCAGTCGTTGTTCTTTATCTCGAAAATCGATTTTATTTTGGATGGATGATGTTAATTTGTCTTTATCCTTTTGGTTATGGAATTTAATTTCGATAAAATTCTTATTTTTGAAAACTTTTTTGACCACGGGTTTTACTGTTGAGCTATTAATTATTTGAAGGATATCGTCGAGGTTTTTATCCTCATCCGTTCTGATGATTATTGGAGCAGGTGGACGAGGTTTACTGACCACTTCACTATATGTTGGTTGTTTATCAGTGTTTTTCATATCTTTAATTTGGACTGTTAGATCTTTGATCTGGTCATCTATCATTTTCAACTGATTGGAGTGAAGAGTTTCTGATCTTCGCAAGCACGCGGTCGCGAAAAATGCTTCTGTAACTTTAACGTTTTCCTCCCCCTGAGGTCGGAACATGGCGTTACCATCGCCATTGCTGATTGTCGTGGCTGCCTTCATTTTAAGTGTGCAAACTTTGTTTTCCTTTCTTAGTGTACCATTTTAGTTGGGTATTCTTAAAAATACTAAAAATGAATTTAAATTTAGCAAGAACAAAAAAACGAATTGTAAGGAATAGCCTAACGAAGATTTAATTGCAGACACAGCACATGATTTATGTTAGTGGAAGTACATAATGAGAGACGTTGTATAACCGCAATAATACTGAATCCATAAAGACATACCTTTTGCTTGGATAAAATCTGTAAGAAAAAACAACAATCCTTAGATTGCCCACAAAAAAAAGTTGAAAAACAGTCACAAAATCATGACAACAGCTTAATGGAACCAATGCTTTTATTTTGGTAGACAAGTTCGCTATTGTTCACACATCAACTTGAAAGGAGAAGCGGTATATTTAAGCAAGTGGGTGGTCAATAATTGGCATTACCATATCCCTTTTTTTCTATCAAAAACAAAAAGATATCTTGGAAAAATCCCAAGTGAAGGATCCCATTTAAAAAGTGATTCCATGCAGAAGGACTATTTGATGTAGGAGTTGGGATGATAAACATCACAGACTGACGCCTAACAAAACTACCGATGAATTTTATAATTTGACACAAAGGGAAGATGCAGCCAATCTCATCTCGAGGAAATCATAACTCGGCGATCGTTCACAATAACATGCTGAGAATGGTAGATGGTTTTTTTGAGAGAAAAAAAAGGCAAAGTTTGCACACTTAAAATGAAGGCAGCCACGACAATCAGCAATGGCGATGGTAGCGTCATGTTCCGACCTCAGGGGGAGGAGGGAGAAAAAATACAAAAAATGAAACGAGCTACATAAATGATCTTTTTCGAATGCACATGTGTTCATTCGCGCGCTATTTTTATATAAAACCAAAACTTAAAGTTGAAGTGGTATTACTTAATTTGAAAGTAAAAGTTAA